GGCCACACGGTCCTGGCCCGTTTAGCCCGTTTGGCCCGTTTGGCCCGCGGTCCCGGGCCTGGACCGGCCCACTTGCCACCCTTATATTGAGTGCTCCGACAAAAGTGAATACCATGTCAGGGCCCCTTTTGTGAAGGTCTCCCCTAACTTCTTCAACAAGATTGATTCAATCTCGTACGGAGGTGATATGCTCTTGAGGATCCAAAGTCCCATCATATTTTGGCAAGTCTGGCATTTTGAACCGCTTCGAGATCAACTCCAGTGCCGCGCTTGGTTTGAACGGCAACTAGGTGTACTTCTTTGAGTCCGGTCCTTTCAATACCGGCGGTGTGCACAATATTTGATCAATTCAGGCGTTTATTTCCCTCGTAAACTGTATGAGTTCGATTTTAAAGGGATCATTCTCGTTGTTGTTACCGGATCCGCCGTTGTTCCCTCCGGCCCTGTTGAAGCCGACCTCACCCCTCAGAGTGTTGTTATCAACCCTTTGTGATGTTTGGTTTGTGGAAGCACTGGGAGGAACTGGACCTCTACTATTTGCATTGTTGGAGGCACCCGACAACGTTTGCTTCAACTCCGTCATGACCTGATCCTGTCGCGAGAGATGGCCCATAATAGCCCTTTGTTGCTCCCTTAAGATTTTTACCGTTTCCACACCGTGCTCGTCTTCAACATCATCAAGAGTTGCCTCTCGAACGTGTTGTGGATATTGCCTACCATGGACCGGAGTGGTTACGCCATCCTCGTTGCGGGTATCATTGATCGAATCTTCGTGCTGAGGCTGATTTCCTTGGGCCTCAATGTTGTGTGTGATGTTGACGCCGTTATCTGTCATCTTTTATGATTTTTCGCTAAGAAACAAAGAATTAAACAAGTTAGTAATAGATGCAAGGATCAATCCAATTACGCAACTATCTAAGCCCCACGGTGGGCGCCGAACTATTTACCCGTAAAACGGTACAGTTGAATTTATACGTGGTTTATAGACAAGCGAATCGATTTGATCCCAAAATGATAAATAAATTAAATAGAAATACAAGACTTAACGTTGAAATCGAGGTAAGATAGCAAATAACTTGATTCCGGGAGCAGAGCTTCCGAAGATAGTAGCAATAACAATAAATAAGAAATAAAGTGTTATTGAGCATAGAATAATGTGTATAGCATGAGTTTGTGAGAAAAATCCTCCCCTTACAATGGTTGTTGAAAATCCCTATTTATAGTGACACCTAGGGAATAAGGTACGAGAATCAAACCTCTTTTAAATGACAATTATGAGGGTCATTGAAGAATGTGTAACGACAGATTATGAATGACATATTCTCTGTAACGGACTATGCATTTAATACTGCAGAATATTCTTCATTGAATGCTATCGGGTGACGGGCATTCATTTGTGTTCATGAGCAACATTCCCTTCGGGGCTTCCCGGTGCCAATAAATTTTAAAATAACATCAAAAATTTAAAATACAAAATGTCACTATATAAAATTTAAAATATTAGAGTATTATTTGGCCCAAGAAAGTGTGAAATGAAGAAATAAATGATATTCGATTATGTGAACCATAGCGTGGTAAGACAGATATTCACACGCAAGTACAGTTGCATCACTAAAAATTGTGTTTTTTAAGCTTTGGACCATAGAACTATAATATGCCACGTGCGTATTTGAATGTGCTCATTTGTCGCTCATTCCATTTGAGGTAAAAAATTAAATAATAATTCACTCGCTTGCAAAACTATTGTGGGCTCAGTCATCACGCCAAAAAAGTAGAAATAAATATATAAATAACCATAATTCATAGGGGAAAGTTCAAAGTCTTCTTCTTCCTTGCCCTTCCACTCTTTTCCTTTATGTGGTTCTCTCTTAAAACCCCAAATCCCTCTTATCAACTTATGCTTTGATCTGTGTCTTATTTAACTGAAGCTGCTTTGAGGTAATTTATTATTACTCGCATGGTTTTGTGAATTCGTTCAATTTTAATTACTGGGTATCCGAAATTGAGTTTCTTTTACTTATTGGAGGACTGACTAGTTATTTTGTTTTTTGTTTTCCCCTTCTTGTAGTTCAAATTATTGAGTATTTGCGTGACTCAGATGTGACCTTACAGTATTATTGTTTTGGTTGGTTATAGAGTGGTTTCGGGAATAAGGGATAATTAAGTGAAATTTTTGAATTTGTTATATGGTGATTATTTTTTATATTGAACATGGTGATAGATTGTGGTGGGATTTGGGGAAGGAAGCTCTTTTCAGTGTTGGGTTTGAGATGTTATCCTCAACTTTGTTTAACAAAGGTGGAAATTTTGGGGTTTAGTCCCCTCTTTGTTTTTCTCTGAGCTTCTGTTGGAAGTATATTAATCAATTAGTATGAAATTTATAATCGGGGACTAGCCAAGTGGAAAACTGGAAAAACAGATATTGGTATCGATGCCATATTAAACCAAACGAGCGAGACATTGTATTGTCTCTAATCTCTATGTAGCATTTGATTCTCACCAGTGTAAGTAAAAGCAGGTAAGGTGATCATTTGGTGTTAAGGGCTTTCTTTAGGTTTTTCTCCCGTTGCATATGAGATTAGTAAGTCAGAATGCTTGTTGCCTTTTTGCTTGCTTTGTTAAAGTGGAGTAATGTTTAAGGTTTTATCTTTTGACAGATGGAGGACGGCAAGATGTCTGAGGATATTTTGACTTCAGCTGCGGCATTTGTTGAAGGTGGAATTCAGGATGCCTGCGATGATGCTTGCAGCATATGCCTTGAAGCATTTTGTGACAGTGATCCTTCTACGGTACGTAGTTCACATTATCCCGTGTTACTGTGAACAGAATTGGATTTATAATGAAGTAATATAATTTTTCAACTTGCAGGTGACTGGTTGCAAGCATGAGTTCCATCTTCAATGTATTCTTGAGTGGTGATCTAAATATTCCCTATTAATTTGATATCTCATGTCTAAACTGTTCTTTCACTCATCTCTAGGATGCATAGTGCTTTTTTATGACTTCCCAAAAAGGTGACATTTTGCGGACATTGATGGCTGCCTAAGGGCCTTTATTGTTCCTCTAATGTTATAAAGATGAGTTGTGGGCTTTCTTGCTGAAAATTAGAATGCTCTATGAAGTGCCTCTGGTGGGAACACACAAACTAGATGTAGAGTATTTTGACAATGTTAAAGATCCAAATACTGCAATTAAGAATGTCATTGGGCTTTCTCAATTAAAAAAATGACTTGGGGCTTTTGGAGTTTGTCTTTTCTTGTGATATATTCCTTTGTTGCCCAACTTTTGGGTTCCATGGTTTTCTTGGAGGATTATATGCTCCTACTTGAGCAGTTTACTTGAAGATGTAAGAGAAAGGCGGTCATTATGATTTCAGCATTGTGATTCTTTCTGATTAATAAGATACACATAAATAAACGATGCTTGATGTTGCTCACTGATTGTATAGATGATGTGGAATGTATTCACAATTGATGACTGAGAAAAGGGTGTGACATCCATAGTTTTTATCCATGATTTTTGGCGTTTCATCTTATCTATTAAGCTTTTGTACCCAACTTCCTGCAAAGGAGGCCCAAAGAGCAGGAGGGGGTTTGTTATTACCGTTGGTTCCTTCTTGTGCCTGTTTAGGACGATAAAAGAGTGAGCAAAATAATGATAAATGACTTCTTGATGCACCAAATATCTCCTATTTACCATTGTTTCAACCAAATTCATTTGGAAGGTTAAACTTAAGTGGCATTGATCAATTGAATCATGATTGTATCCGCTATTTCTGATATTAAAATTAGAAAAAGGTAAAATTGGAGCATTTGATTTTCTCTTCTTCTTTTTTTTTTTTTAAATTTAAATTGTTGGAACAAAGTTTTATTCCTTCAAATTTGTATTTGTCATGGAAGATTATCAGTTGATAGATTATGAATTTTTGGATCTTTGGTTGTATATGCTGCAAATACTGAGACTAAAGGCACGCATAGAGCTTAATTTGAAAGCACTAATATCCTGAATAATTTTAATGTATGTGCTGTAGGTGTCAGCGAAGCTCCCAGTGCCCCATGTGTTGGCAGGCTCTCAGCTTGAAAGACCCTAACAGGTTCGGTCTTATTCTCAAATCAGCCACTTGTTTATCAGTTTGTGATCTTTCTTAGTCCTCCTTCAATGCTATTGATAAATGTGCTTCTCTTTCAGCCAGGAATTGTTGGATGCAGTAGAGCACGAGAGAAACATCAGGATGAATCCTCCTAGAAACACCACAATCTTTCACCATCCAACTCTAGGAGATTTCGAATTACAGCATGTTAGCATTTCTGAAGTCCACAAAAGTTTTTTCTTCTTATAAGCTGTTAATGGTCCATTTTGTGACAAAATCTTGTGGTGTGTTTCTTTCACAGTTACCTGTAAGTGCAACTGATTCTGAACTTGAAGAGCGTATCATTCAGCACTTAGCTGCTGCCGCTGCCATGGGAAGGACACGCCACCTTGCCAGAAGGGAAGGTCAGCGAGGTAGGTCATCAGGTCAAGGTCGTCCCCATTTTCTGGTGTTTTCAACTCATCCAAATGCTCCTCCTCCTGCTGCTGCTGCTGCTGCTGCTTCATCTTCTACTCAAAGGGGTGGGGGTGGACCCACTCCTGCAGCCTTGGTTTCTGGTCAGGATTCTCCAATTGTTGCTGTTGGAGAAGGTTCTGGACAACTAGTCTCTCAACCATCTTCTTTTCAAGCTGATCAGGTTTCTGCCTCTGGGTCAGGATCAAATGCTGCTGTTAACCAACTTGGGACTTCGTCAAACAATAGGTGTGTTTATTTGTCAAGCTTGGTTGAGAGTTTTGATGGTTCCTCTTTTCTTTTGTTCTATGTGAGTTACATAATTATAGTCATGGGAATGGATCCTCCAAAACTAAAATGAGTTTGCAATAATTACCAAGAGAAAGCCGGCACCCTCACCCTTTCTAGATAGGGGCACAACAAAAAGGCCTTCTCGTGGATTCTTCTTAATTCCCGATCACCNATAAAGTCTCGACTTAGTGCAATGTCAATGAGGTATCTGGAAACTCTAATATCATCTCTTATAACTGTTCAGGTAACTTCTGAAACATCAGAAAATGTTATTTGTTTGTAAGCCCTATTTACTTGTTTTTATCGTTGTTTTTTAGATACAAAGAATCTTTAACAAAGAGTTCAAGGGGTTGGAAGGAGAAGTTTTTCTCTCGCAACAGTTCGACGTCAGACCATGGTCTGGAATCTAGGAATGAAACCAGTGCAGCTGTTGCCACTGTATCACACCTGATGGAGCATCTGGAAACCACAGACAGCAGAGCCAGTTCTGCTGAATCAAATATATTGGAGGAGACTTTACCTATTGGACGTGCTGAGCAGCATATACCTGAGATTGATGATACCCATTCTTTAAATGAGGATAATAG